CACAGCCAACATCATCCTCAATGGTGAAAAACTGAAAGCATTTCCACTAAGATCAGGAACAAGACAAGGTTGCCCACTCTCACCACTCTTATTCAACATAGTTTTGGAAGTTTTAGCCACAGCAATCAGAGAAGAAAAGGAAATAAAAGGAATCCAAATCAGAAAAGAAGAAGTAAAGCTGTCACTGTTTGCAGATGACATGATACTATACATAGAGAATCCTAAAGATGCTACCAGAAAACTACTAGAGCTAATCAATGAATTTGGTAAAGTTGCAGGATACAAAATTAATGCACAGAAATCTCTAGCATTCCTATACACTAATGATGAAAAATCTGAAAGTGAAATCAAGAAAGCACTCCCATTTACCATTGCAACAAAAAGAATAAAATATCTAGGAATAAACCTACCTAAGTAGACAAAAGACCTGTATGCAGAAAATTATAAGACACTGATGAAAGAAATTAAAGATGATACAAATAGATGGACAGATATACCATGTTCTTGGATTGGAGGAATCAACATTGTGAAAATGACTCTACTACCCCAAGCAATCTACAGATTCAATGCAATCCCTATCAAACCACCACTGGCATTTTTCACAGAACTAGAACAAAAAATTTCACAATTTATATGGAAACACAAAAGACCCCGAATAGCCAAAGCAATCTTCAGAACAAAAAACGTAGCTGGAGGAATCAGGCTCCCTGACTTCAGACTATACTACAAAGCTACAGTAATCAAGACAGTATGGTACTGGCACAAAAACAGAAAGATAGATCAATGGAACAGGATAGAAAGCCCAGAGATAAACCCATGCACATATGGTCACCTTATCTTTGATAAAGGAGGCAGGAATGTACAGTGGAGAAAGGACAGCCTCTTCAATAAGTGGTGCTGGGAAAACTGGACAGGTACATGTAAAAGTATGAGATAAGATCACTCCCTAATACCATACAGAAAAATAAAATCAAAATGGATTAAAGACCTAAATGTAAGGCCCGACACTATCAAACTCTTAGAGGAAAACATAGGCAGAACGCTCTATGACATAAATCACAGCAAGATCCTTTTTTTTTTTTTTTGCAGTACGTGGGCCTCCTGCGGAGCACAGGCTCTGAACACGCCGGCCCAGCGGCCATGGCTCACGGGCCCATCTGCTCCGCGGCATATGGGATCTTCCCGGACCGGGTCACGAACCCACGTACCCCTGCATCAGCAGGCGGACTCCCAACCACTGCGCCACCAGGGAAGCCCCACAAAATCCTTTTTGACCCACCTCCTAGAGAAATGGAAATAAAAACAAAAATAAACAAATGGACCTAATGAAACTTCAAAGCTTTTGCACAGCAAAGGAAACCATAAACAAAACCAAAAGACAACCCTCAGAATGGGAGAAAATATTTGCAAATGAAGCAACTGACAAAGGATTAATCTCCAAAATTTACAAGCAGCTCATGCAGCTGAATATCAGAAAACAAACAACCCAATCCAAAAATGGGCAGAAGACCTAAATAGACATTTCTCCAAAGAAGATATACAGATTGCCAACAAACACATGAAAGAATGCTCAACATCACTGATCATTAGAGAAATGCAAATCAAAACTACAATGAGGTATCATCTCACACCGGTCAGAGTGGCCATCGTCAAAAAATCTACAAACAGTAAATGCTGGAGAGGGTGTGGAGAAAAGGGAACCATCTTGCACTGTTGGAGGGAATGTAAATTGATACAGCCACTATGGAGAACAGTATGGAGGTTCCTTAAAAATCTAAAAATAGAACTACCATACGACCCAGCAATTCCACTACTGGGCATATACCCTGAGAAAACCATAATTCAAAAAGAGTCATGTACCACAATGTTCACTGCAGCACTATTTACAATAGCCAGGACATGGAAGCAACCTAAGTGTCCACTGACAGATGAATGGCTAAAGAAGATGTGGCACATATATACAATGGAATATTACTCAGCCATAAAAAGAAACGAAATTGAGTTATTTATAGTGAGGTGGATGGACCTAGAGTCTGTCATACACAGTGAAGTAAGTCAGAAATAGAAAAACAAATACCATATGCTAACACATATATATGGAATCTAAGGAAAAAAAAAAAGTCATGAAGAACGTAGGGGTAAGACGGGAATAAAGACACAGACCTACTAGAGAACGGACTTGAGGATATGGGGAGGGGGAAGGGTAAGCTGTGACAAAGTGAGAGAGTGGCATGGACATATATACACTACCAAACGTAAAATAGATAGGTAGTAGGAAGCAGCTGCGTAGCACAGGGAGATCAGCTCGGTGCTTTGTGACCACCTAGAGGGGTGGGATAGGGAGGGTGGGAGGGAGGGAGACGCAAGAGGGAAGAGATATGGGAACATATGTATATGTATAACTGATTCACTTTGTTATAAAGCAGAAACGAACACACCATTGTAAAGCAATTATACTCCAATAAAGATGTTAAAAAGAAAAAGAACATGTGGTTGGCAGGGATGTGGAGAAATTGGAACCATCATGCATTTCTTCTGGGAATATAAAACAATACAGCTATGGAAAACAGTTTGCCGGTTCCTCAAAAAGTGAGACATAGAATTGAGACCCAGCCATTTCACTCGTAGGTATATCCCCAAAAGAGCAGAAAACAGGTCTTCGAACAAAAACTTGTAGAGACAAATGTTCATAGCAGCACTATTCACAGTCACCAAAAGGTGGAAACAACCTAAGTGTCCATCAATAGATGAATGGATAAGCCAAAGGTGATCTATCCACATAATGGAATAGTATTCAGCCATGGTAAGGAATGAAGTATTGATGCATGCTACAGCAGGGATGAACTGTGAAAACATTATGTTACGTGAAAGAAGCCAGCGACAAAAGACCATGTATGATGTGATTCCATTTATATAAAATGTCCAGAAGAGAAAAATCCAAGGAGACAGAAAGTAGATTTGTGTTTGATTAGGGCTGAGGGAAATGGAGGGTTGGGTGGAAAGGGATGATAGCTAAAGGGTACAAGATTTCTCTTTGTAGTGATGAAAAGATTCTAAATTGACTTGGGTGATGGCTGCACATATCTGTGAATATACTAAAAACCATTGAATTGTAGGCTTGGCTTTAAATGGGTCAATTATATGGTATATGAATTATACCTCAATAAGGCTGTTTTAAAAAAGAGAGAGAGAGAAGCTAAAAATTAAAATATTAAAACACACACACGCTGTCCTAGGTGTTTGGACAGACTCTGCCAGATCCATTATGGATAGTCTCAATTAGTGACCCTTCCAGTGCTGGAACTGATTTAGAAAAACATAAACAAAATTAAGAGTGTGTCAGGCAGGGGCTTCCCTGGTGGCGCAGTGGTCGAGAGTCTGCCTGCCGATGTAGGGGACACGGGTTCGAGCCCTGGTCTGGGAGGACCCCACATGCCGCATACTAACTGGGCCCGTGAGCCACAACTACGGAGCCTGCGCGTCCGGAGCCTGTGCTCCGCAACGAGAGGCCGCGACAGTGAGAGGCCCGCGCACCGCGATGAAGAGTGGCCCCCGCTTGCCGCAACTGGAGAGAGCCCTCGCACAGAAACGAAGACCCAACACAGCCAAAAATAAATAAATAAATTAAAAAAAAAAAAAAAAGTGTGTCAGGCAGAGAAGGTAAGAATGGAACAACACATCCAAAGCCTGAAGCAGTGAATGGTGCTAGCATGTTCTGAAGCATTGAGATGTTGAGCGGGAGCTGGGCCGTGAGGACAGTGGCAGGAGAGCAACACTGTGGAGTTGAGAGTAGTTGTCCCAGAATATAGCAGTGGCCTGGAAAGCAGGCTTCAGAGTGACTCCATCACTCACTGAGTATGTGCGCAGGCAAATTTGTGATCCTTCTTAAGCATCCATTTCCTGTAATTGGGAATAAACACCATGCCCCCCTCACAAGATACTGTACTTTGAGGATTTAATGAAGCAAGATAGGTAAAGCGTATAGTCAAAGCCTGGCAAACAGTATGCAGTCAATAAGCGTTAGTGCCCTGAGCTCTTGGGAAGCTAAAGGAGTTCAAAATGAGAAATTACCAGTTATCAGCAAAATGTTACAGCTGATGATAAAGGTTTCAAGCTTTTTGAGTTTTGAGTAATTTATACACATTGCCACTAATTTAACTTCCTCTGATCCATCAAGAAAAATACATGTTTTTAAAAGAAAATCTCTAGAGAATTATGGTAACTGTCCCCTAGACTAATGGTACTGATCTGGCCTCAGTAGCTCAAGCTTAGCCAGAAAAATAACAAGTTCCTATTACGATGATATTCTAATTAAATATCCCAAACTTTATTCCAGGTATACCCAATCCAATATTGGCAGAGATAATTCAAGCAAGAACATTCTAGCCAGTAAATAATAAATTCTCAGAAGCCAAAATTTCCATTTACACCTGTAAATAGAAAATTCAATTTAATGCAAATTGTTAAATAATAAGACCAGTGGGCAATGAACCATACTAAACACATCATATGAAATGGATCAGTCATGCAGCATGGTGACCAGGAAAGAAATCTGTGACACGTTCTGTAGCTAAATGCTATGTGTTTACACATGCAAGCACACGCATGCAGACGCACACAACAAGATGCTACCACAGAGACACAGCATGCGTGTGAAAGATGGAGAAATTCTGAATGAGTAGCTGGTTGCATTCCTCTGTGTTTAAAATCTTTTGCTCACCTTCCATAGGATCACCTAACCATGAAGAATGCTATTTTATACAATGCTTGGCAGAGCAGTTGTTAGGAAGGGGAATCCAGTAAATGGCTTTGCTGAAGGTAAAAATCATTAAGACGGGGATTCAGGCATGTTCTTTATTGAGACCTCCTTCTTGAGCAAGTTCAAAAGTCACCATCCACAAATTTAAAATCAGCAACATACTTACACAAAATACTTACAGAATTCCTCTGATTGAGGCACAGAAGATTAAAATAAGTCAACATAGATCATTTTTTCCTACCTTAATCTGGACAATAGGACATGGCTCAGGCATCAGAGATTTTGGAGATCATTCAACATGCTAGATGCAGGATGTATCTTATAGCGCATCTGGAGAGCAAGGGACTTGGAAGAGAAAAGTTTGGAAGAAAATAGGTTTGATTTTTAAATGTTTTCCAGCTCTTTTTTAAAATAAGCTATCATGCATCTCAGCTTGGAAACAATTTAAAAGAAACAATCAAGTGGATCATCTTTCACCATAGTCACGAAGGTGCTGACACCCTAACGTAGGCTGTTTTAACAAGAGAGCAAAATCCTTAATGCTAATGTAGCACTTTGCTTTTTGAGTTCCCAGAGTCTGAAGAGTATGCAGACCAAAAAGCTTAGCAAATCTTGGGAGCAAATTATTTTTATTTTTTCATATGTGTTTGTGAATTACCTGTTTGCTTGGTGCTGAGAAATTTCACAGGAAGTGGGACTTTCAGGGCTAAAACCAGAAAATGCCAGGGCAAACCAGGGCAAGATGGTTACCTTATGTGTTTATCAACAAAAGACTAAAACCAACATATAATCTCTACACACCCATCAACACACCTATGTTGAAATAATTTTAAAATAATGGCATTCAAAAATGAAAATGTAAAATGTTCAGCTAAACCATTAATCATTCATTCTCCTCAGTACCCTTTAGTTACTTCCACTTCCTTGCCCTCCGATCAAATCTTAAAGGAAGTTTTCAAAGATATTTTCCAATCAGAAGGTCCCACAGTCAACCGAAGAACTTGCCCCAAGCTCATTGGTCTTCAGGCATGTAGAAAGTTTGGGGGAAAAAAAGTTTTTGATGTAAAATCATTTCTACACTGATTCAGAGAACCGATTCAACGTTTTGAATAGTTCAAGTCAAATTTATGCCTGAAATATTGATATAATTAAGGAAATAAAAATATTATCTGGAATATGTCTTTAACCCAACCAAAAGAAAACATCAGGTCCTTTTCTTTGTTATATCATTTGAGCTTAGCATTTTCTTCTTGCTAAGAAATCTGTTAATGAGGCTAATACAGCAAAAGAAAGTGTTTATGTTTGCCCACCTTAATCACTCTCCACTTTCGTCTTCACATCTTTGAGATTAAAACGTAGATTAGCAAAAGAACAGTTGTTTCTTTCTAAATGCATTGTAAGTTTGTTTTTTCAGTTGATTTCTTCCCAATTTCCAGTGTTATCTGCTGAAAATATTTTACTCTTGAATATTTTATGTAATTAATTGAGAAGTAGCGATAATGTAAGACTATTTCATCCAGCGATCCCCCAGCATATGGAGAATACTGCAAATTACCAAGTAAGTCCACTGAGTGAAACATAAATTAAAAATGAGTTTAAGAGACAGCGGGACATGTTTATGTAGGCAAAAGGGGTTGGAAGATTTGCTGACAACACGGAGAGGTGTGTTGCAATAAACTTGAAGGAGACAGGCCATTGGGCCAACCAGCCCTTTTCTATCCAGGAATTCCTTATGTTCTCATTAGTGTCTCACATCCGGACAGCTGTGTTATTAAAATTTGGCCCTAAACTTGAGTCAATGAAGGAGTTTCATGTCTTGATTTCATTCTTCCTTTACATATTAAATACACAAACACACATACACACACACACACGTGCGCGCGCACACACGAATTTCAACTTTGGTTCAAGGAAGCATTTCATTTCACGTCCAGACATCAGATTTTTGTGACTCATGGCCAAGGACAGGGAATGGCTTTGTGAACAAGCTTGTTCTGATCATGTCCACCTCTGTCTGATAAGAGTACATGTTCATGGCACCTCACTTTCATTAATACAACATTCTAAACAGTCCTCTGAATGGCCACCTTTAGTACTGAGTTAGGTTCAAGCTTCTATAACTGAGTTTCTTGGGAAGAAAAAATGTTTTAAGGGTTAGAGAAAAAGGGCAGTTCTCTTCATTCCTTTATCTTTCCTCATCTTTTAAAATATGTGGTTAGGAAAGATTTTGTACAGGATTGGTTAGAAGCCAAGAGTTTCACTGACCCTTTTAGTCGTTGCCATTTCACATTTCTTGCCTCAGGAACTGGTGGAGTTTTAGAACAAATTTTAATTTATAGGATGCAAGCATAACCTGCATCTGAATATAAATACCAAACACATGCATTAGCGCTTTGCAGTTAACAAGCACTTGGATCCCCACTGTCTTGTTTGCTCTAATTCATGATCCTATTAGCTTGGTGCTATTATCTGATATTTATCGATGTAGAAACTAAGGCCCAAAGAAGTTAAGTGACTTGGCCAAAATCACTTGCCCAAGTGGTAAGTAGTTGACTTAAAACAGAGGTTAAAGAAAGAACTTAAATTCAAACAGAAAATAAAGCTCCATTTTTAATGTAATTTTTTAAAAAATAAAGTTGAGCAAAAACATAAACAAATGAGGAGCTTATGTCTACTTGGGTCCATTTCTAAAGACCTATTCCATTACATGGTAACAGCATATGCATGTGTGCTACTTAGTTATCTTAAGAGTAAAGACGCTTAAGGAAACAAATTCATATATTCACTAAAGACTTCTTTATAGTTTTGTTATCTTTTTTTCTGTTTTAGGTTAAAAAATATACAACCACGAAAATCAATTCATAAATCAAAATATTAATGTTATTTGTTTATACTTGTTTTAACTTCAAGCATCATACTTCTCAAAGCAAAAACCCAAAGCCTTACCTATATTCTAGTGAACTGACAATTACTGAAAATAATATTCTCCTAATGAAAGCCAAATCCACATTCAAAAGCTATTAAATGTTGTTGCAAACAGAAGCCTTAGTCAACATTTGAGCATAACAGATAAAGTACTGGAATATAAACAAATAGATGATGAAGAGAGGGGCAGTGGGGGCAGGAAGAGAGTGTTGAGAAAAGAGAGAGGGAGACTGCTGCACAGAGCCTTACCCCTAGGGAGGATCCAGGAACCCAAAAGCCCCCTAAGGAGCAGCCTCCAAACGCCCAGTTCCTTCTGATGTGGTCCCTGTATTTGGTTCTCTCCTGAAACAAGTGCCCTGGTCTGATCGCCAGTTTGAGGCCACTCCCCTGATAACCTGTCTAGCCCTTGCTATAATGTCCTCCTGTCAGGGGCCAGAGCTGGTCCATGAGACCCAGCATGGGTCTGATTGGGGTCCAATTACAACCGAAGCAGAACCCCCCACAAAGAAAGAGACACTACCTCATACTTGGCAAGAAGAGTACCACCCCACCAGAATTAACCCCGGATGCTGGGGTCAGTCTCCTGAGAGCTTTGGGCACCAAAGAGCCCTAGCTATTGTCATTGGAACGTCGGTCTCCTTCCCTGAAACTCTGACACTAGGTTTTCTCCCCTCTTCCTCCCAGCCTGCTCCAAGGTCCCAAGATACATTTAGCCCAGCCTGGAAGGGTTAAAACATATCACAGGTGATTTAAACTAATTTCAGTGGTAGCTGATGGATTTTAAAGACCTGACCTTTTGTGAATTAGGAAGATCTACTCTCGCCTTCACTTTATTTTGTAGCCATCGTTTGGCTAGATGGGTCTGACTTCTATACTCCCAGTAGCATTCATCACACACAGTCTGTCCTCCCCGCCAGCCTGCAAGGATTAGGTCTGTCTTTTTTTTTTCTTTATTATTATTATTATTACTATTATTTTTTTTTTTTTTGGCCATGCTGTGTGGCATGTGGGATCTTAGTTCCCCGACCAGGGATGGAACCCATGCCCCCTGCATCGGGAGTGCAGAGTCTTAACCACTGGACCACCAAGGAAGTCCCGGATTAGGTCTGTCTTGATCACTGTTGTACCCTTATTCCTAGCACGGTGCCCAGCACATAGCAGAAATTAATAAGCATTTGCAATGAACACATATATGATACATGTATGCAACTGTCAAGCAATCTATTAGCTTAGGAAATGAGGTGATTCATCACATATTTGAATTTATTAATTGGCTAATAATACTGATGCATTAGACAGCACATTTATATTATTTCATACTTATACTGTAAAGCACAAATATATCAAATAATATGTTTTTATCTACCATTTTAACTTCTGAGAAATTTTTTTCCCTTCAAAAGAATATCTGCTAAATTTACTTTATAAAATCCTGAGTGAAGAGAAGTGAAAGACAGCCTCTCACTGGAAGCAGCCCTTCATTCAACTGAACTCTAAGAAATATACATTTTCTTAGAACTCACATTTATCAGAAAAAAATTCTTGAAAATTGCAGGTAACATATATTCGGATAGTTTAATTATGTTTACTTAAAACTAAGAAGTTTATGACTTTAAGGCAAAGTTATTTTGTAAATGTTCAGTCTCTATATGATCCCTGCTGCCCCTACTCTCCTATCTCAAATAAGCCAAATTAATTTTCCAATTTCACTTCCAAACTACTCTCTTGAATGACTGTGTTTATGATTTGGTGTCTTTGTGTGCTAAAGACAAGTAACAGACCAGTTATGGAAAAGAGGAGAAAAAAATTCCTTCCAGTGCTCTCTTAAGACCGTGGCTTCCTTTCTAATACATATATATATATATATATATATATATATATGTATGTATCAGGACCAAACAGAGTCACAGGACACTGGGTTCAATTTTTACTTTGACAGTAGTCCCATGTGACTCTGAGCCAGTCCTTTCAACACCGTATTTCCTCATCTGTCACATAAGAATAATAAGATTTGCCCTTTACCAGTTTCCAAAGATGTTTCCATATCTGAAACATACTTGGGACTCCCAAAATAGGTTTGATTATTTTGTCTTACTCCATCAAAATCTTAATTTCCTGCTTTTCCAAGTTAGGGATAAAAATATTTGCCAACCTTGAAAGTTTATTATAAGAATCAAGTAAAATAATGCACATGTAAAAGCTTTGAAATTTGAAAATGTTTACATGTGAAAGGTCTTGCTCTTTTAATACTTCTGCAAATGCATGTTTAAACTAATGCAAGTTATTCAAAAATGCAGTGAGAAATTTCCGTCTTTTGGGTCTCCTCTTAATATGAAGCATGGAAGGTCTTCTGGTGGCTAAACACATTATCAATAAAACATGCATGTGAAAAAAAAAACGCATGTGCTTGGAGTTCTTCGTTCAGTAATAAAAATTAGTTTGTACCATGACATTCATATTCAGTTTAAAAAGTAGTCTTAAGTGTTCACTATGTGCCAGATACTTACTAAGAGTTGGGGATACTTAGCTAAGGCTGCTATAACAAAGTACCATAGACTGGGTGACTTAAACAATAGACACTTATTTCTCACGGGTTTGAAAGCTGGGAAGTCTAAGATCAAGGTGCCAGCAGATTCAGTTCCTAGTGAGAACTGGCTTCCTGGCTTGTGGACAGCCACCTTCTTGCTGTGTGTTCACATAACCTTTCTTCAGTGCATGCCCAAGGAGAGAGCATGATGTCTGTGTTCCTCTTCTTATAAGAACTCTAATCCCATCATGGGTACCCCACCCTCATGACCTCATATAAACCTAATTTCCTCCCAAAGGCCCCACCTCCAATTACCATCACATTGGGGGTTAGGGTTTTAATAAATTAATTTTGGGGGACACAACATTCAGCCCATCATAGGGTATAAAGTCAAAGATGACAGTGTCCCTGACCTCATGGAGGCCTTATTCCAGTTGAAAGAAGACATAAAGGAAGGACCTCAGTGCAGAGTGTTAAATGCTATGAGGACAACAGAAGGGCCAGGAGGAGATGACATGTGTGCTGAGTTAAAGGATGAACAGAGAAGTCAGCCAAATAAAGGGAGCAGGAAGGCGTATTCCTGGTAGAGTAAACGGTATAGGCAAAGGCCCTAACATTGGAAACAGCATGGTTTGTTCAGGGGAAAATGCAAACAATATTATAAAAGTGTAAGGTGCCATTTGAAGAGTGGTGGGAGAAGAGGATGAAGAAAGAAAACATTCCATCTAAGAGGACCACATGTGCCTTTCTAAAGAACTTGTGGTTTATCGCATTGGCACTGTGCTTCTCACACTAGGGTACTCAAACCCTGGGGACAGGCAAGATTAACATGGCCCAGCTTCTTGGGTCCTCAATTTTACCCAAAACTATGGGAAAGAAACAAAGTTGAAGCTGAAGTAGTATTATTTCAAAACACTCTTTGTAAATATTAAAATACCCATCCTTAGGGTTACATCCTTAGGGTTACCTGAGTTGGAGATGCACAGCTGGTATGTAATGGGGAATCGCTGATGGCTTTTACGCTCAGCAGTGACACAGTCAGATTTATGTTCTAGATCAATCACTCACTCTGGTAATGGTATGAAGAACAGACATGAGGGAAGAAAGACTACAAATGGGAAGGTCCGTTAGGAGCTGGGCATTTCCTCTTTCAGGAAAGAGATGCTGAGTAGCTGAAACAGGGTAGGGATGTAAGTGGGGAGGATTTGAGCACATTTGAGGAACTTGAGGAAGTAAGGTCGTTAGCACTTAGTGATTCACTATGGAAGTTAAGAGAAAGACAGGAGTCAAAGGTCAACCCAGGGTTTGGGCTCAGGAGACTGGATGGAGAGTGATGCCCTTCAGCTAGCTGGCGAACATGGGAGAAAGTGAAGTTAGGAGAAGATTACAGCTTCAGTTTTGAACATGTACAGTTCTACATACCCATGGATCTCCTGGTGAAGATGCTCAGAATTCACGCCTTCTCTGATTCTCCTCGTGAAGGTGGTCAAAATTGGTGGGGCATTTTGCTTTATCTCCTTCACAACTTTCACTGGCCGTCTCTGGAGTTCATACATGACCTCGTCTCAGCTCGTAAACTGTTTTCTTTGATGCCTCTCGACCCCTATGACAGAGTAGTAACTGCCTGGGCATTTTCTTAGAATAGCATCAACCCACCAGTTCTGTGCAGTTCCCCAATTTTCTGATCTTTTCAATGGAACAGCATGTGTGACTGACATGATGACTGCTGGTAAATAAGTAAACTAGACGAAAATCCATTATCATATCACCCACCAATCCTTTAGCTCCTAAGTCCCTATTTCTGAACTTTAGTTCACCTCCAACAACTTCTTCATCTTTTCCAATCTAGTTCCTGGTCTCCCAATTGTAATAAAATAGATACTGATCTCAGGTGGGGAATAAGCATCAGAAACAGATGAACTCATAAGACACAAATCCTATGTCCCTATCCCCCTGTTTTCATGCAAATGTCCCCAGTAATTAAATCAGGAAAAGAAAATGTAGCAAAAACATACCAGCCAAATGGTTTCAAAATTTCAGAAGAAGCTGTAAATATGGTCCTTTTTAGAAGATCAGGTTCTCACTAGAGTATGAGAAAGGGTAACAGTTGTTCTGATGAAGCAGTTTTTAAATTCTTGTCAGTGATTTGAAGAGAGATAACTGATGTATGTTGAAGAAGCTGGCAAAATTTTTAAATAGTTCGGACGCTACAGGGAGCATTTTTTTTTAAAGCAATGTACTCAGAAGTGTTGGCAAGACTTTATTTGAACGTAGCAGTGCTTATGTGAGGAAGTTATTTTGAATTACCCTAGTATAAATATGTATGATTTTATTTGTATTGAAAATTTCCTTTGCAAGTGAGTGACTGAGGGACTGTTATATCTCTATTGCTTGGTAAATGATTTAGGTATTTCATTTTGGAAGTAAAATATTATACTCAGAATTCAAAAATAATATCAAAACCCTGTTTGTGACCACAGTGCTTTTTGCACCTACATTAATGCCTTTTAACTCTTATTTGCCATGTAGAACAAACGGCATCTGTTGTTTCAAGTCTGGCTTTTTTACATGACATTCATGCATGCATGCATTCATTCATCCAAAAGACATTATTCAGTGCCTCTCATGTTCCAAGCTCTATGCTAGGCAGTGGGCAGACAGTAATAGTATTGAACTGTCCCTCCTCATAACGAATTTCAGGTAAACATTCTGTTTCCTCCAGGTAATTTTCTGCAGCACAGTGGAAATCTCAAATCCTAGGGTCATATCTTATTATTTAAAAGCTAAGCCTTTTGAAGGTTGCGAACAAGGCTATCTTTAAAAGGTAGTTTTTCTTCTGAATAGAAAGCATGGAAAGAAAGATAAGAAGAGGTAAGGGCCCTGAGTGAGAAATAGGACTTGAAGCAGAGGGAAGAAGAGAGAGGGGAAGGGGCAAGTATTATAATCAGGACTTAATAGTTTTTGCCTCAGTATCTTTGGGCAACCAGTTACTGGTCTACATGAAAATGAAGTTGCTGGCAGGAAAAACACCCAGCCCACTGGCTGATGGAGCCTGTCCATCTGAAGAAGGAGATGGAATTCCCTGGTGGTCCAGTGGTTAGGACTCAGCACTTTCACTGTCGAGGGCCCAGGTTCAATACCTGGTCGAGGAACTAAGATCCCACAAGCCACGAGGCATGGCCAAAAAAAAAGGAAAAACAAAACAAAATTCCCCGTCTTCTCTGTTTTCTTTATTTACCTATTGTGTGGTATTAGAGGGTGAGGGGATCATTTATCTTAAATTACAACTACACACCTGCCTTCTTAAGCAAACCATACTTTTACTAATCTACTCCATTTTTTCTTTATGATTTCCTTCCTTTTTCAGAGAAAACCTCTTATTAAATTTTAACATATTTACTTAAAAATAAACCATGAAAAGACTCATCAGAGCCATTTAAAGGAAAGAGAAATATATACACACAATTCTGCATTTGCTCCTTCATTTTTTTTTTCAGAACGTGTGTAAAATTGACACACAAGAAAGGGAATAAAACAGTTTGTGTTAATAATGTAATCTGGTACATAACTTGATGAAAAGGAGGTTGTGCCGGTCTAAGTGTTCCATGGTCCCTGCCTGCTAGGCTCATCTATTCTCACATTTTTTTCAGCCGGGCAGCTTGACTTTTGGGATCTTAGTTCCCCCGACCAGGGATTGAACCCACACCCTCTGCAGTGAAAGCACCACTGGACTGCCAGGGAATTCCCACTATCCTTATTCTTATCTCAGGCCTTTACAAGTGCGAAATAGGAGATCAGTTTACATCCCTTTAAAGCTTCTTAATGAATGGCAGACTCCACACACAACAACAAATATTTCCTATATAATAGGCACTAGTCCAGGGGACTGGGAAAGAGACATTGGTGAGAGGTCACCTTCCTTCGTCAAATAAATTACTATTTAGAGATCCTAAATGAAGCAATAGTTTAAAATTTTCCAAATGATGTTACTTTGCTTTAATATCATAAAAAGCATTACTTTGCCCCCAATTCAAAGTCCAATGTGATTTCAAATGACCTTCGCAAGCATATTTCACCTAGCCTTGAACTCCACAACTACACAAGAATCCTCACCAACGGAAGCAAAACTGCAATAGAGACCATCTCTACAGAACTACTATAGCAAATTATTGTAAATAAGTTTTCAATATCCCAGATAAATGCTAAATGATGGTAGGTAATAATATAGCTCAGGATCATGCTGATTTCTCTAAAATGAAATTCCAAATACACAGTAGATAGATAGACTAAACTTTAGAAGAACAAGGTTTTAGTTTTTCATTCCTGTTTTAAAAGGCCACGTATTGTCTGTGAACTTTCAGCTTTGTTCTGTCTCTCTTGTCTAGAAGGGTGCTAGCCATGAGCCAAGAACAATAGGTAAGCCAGCTTACCTCAACCCAGAAAAATTACCCCGTTGCACAGGAGCCATACCTATGGTTCCACAGTGGCCAAGGAAAAATCTAACAGGAATTGAATTTTTTTTTTTTTTTGCATGTAGCAAAGTTACTTCCAGAGAGAGCAAAAGAAGCCTGGTTTGCACTGTAGCAGAACCATTGGAACAATATGCTCCCTGTGTCCACAACCCAGTCCTCCCCTGACACCCTCCTTTCTAGGGCATAGGGTAGAAAAGTCACATACACAGTAGATCATGCCAGGGCCTGCTGACACAACCGTACTCCTGAATTTGCAGACGGCAGAGTGTAGCAATGTCTTTAGTATACACATATTCTTACCTTTTTTTTTTTTTAAGGATGTTTCAGCACTCAACTGGGGGGTGGGAAGAAGATACTGCAGGCAAACTTTCTCAGTGCTATTCCTTCCCTTCTACCCCCTTCACAGTTCCTTCAAACTTCAGAAGTTTGAGTTAAGAGTAGGTAGGTATAGAGCTTTGGACAGTATTAAGGGCCTCTTCTTTTTACCTTGAATGAGTGATCTTTGACATTTCTTGGCCACACCAAACTGGCTGCCAGAGTGCTTCCTCTTATGCCAGGTCATATAGGGAGAATTAGGTGGAAAGATATTTTTTCTTACAATTGTAAACAGAAGTGTGAAATACAGAATGAAATTGTAAAGTATATTTATTTACCTCAGAGGTTAGAATCGTGATGCTTATAATCATGAGCACTCCACATTTTCTACTACAAGTTAAGAAATTCCGTATTACTTTTGCAACTTTGTTCTCAGTAAGCATTGATTTCTGTAAAATGCAAGAACCAGTTAAACAATTCCTAATAAAATCATAAAGTAAATAATTAAATAAATGGCACTAAAATAACTAAAAATGATGAAATAAGTATCATCTAAGATACATGCTACATTCACTCTGGTTTTCTGTAATTTAACTTCATGTATTTTCCAGGTAATTCACAAGAAGGAATTCCTATTTATTGATATGCCTACCCTGTAGCATTTTACATATATTGTCATATTTTTTCACCACAGCCAGCTTAAATTTAAGTCCTCTTTTGCTCATTTTAAAAATGAAGTTCTCAGGGGCTTAATATCTTGTCCTCAATACACAATTAGCACTCACAAAGCAGGGAGTCAAATCCAGTTCATCTAATTTCAAAGCCTGTATCTTTGCCACTATAATATGCTGTAATTGAGGAGAATGTAAAGAATCTGGTGGCAAATACATTGAGGTCCAGTTCCCAGTCAACAAGCAATTTAAAAATTATACAAGAAAAAAAACAATTTCCAGATATGCCTGTATCATGATCTCTCCTTCATCACTAACTTGTCCTGTGCTTAGGTCCAGTACTGGGGCCAATGTGAGCAAGCAGGAACTTGCCATGGGAGTGTCCCTAAGTCAAGGGTCCTGGTGAGAAGACTGAACTAGGAAAGACACTTTATCTGGGAAGCCAGAAGCAACAAAGCCAGAGAAACCATTCTACCTGAGCCAATACCGTAACTGGAAAAATGAGCCTAAGTGCTAGATCCAAAAGGCAAAATAAGCCACACATGGAAAAACAAGTACTAACCAAGTCATCCAGGAGGTTTGGAAGTGGGTCACAATGCAGTGGGCAGAGTGGGTGGGCACAAGTGGTTCAGAAGGATGTCTGCGAAAGGTGAGAAGACATTGGATGTCACCTGTATGTGGCGTCTGCTGGGAGGATGGATCTGGCAGATTCAAAGGCCGGTGAAGAACCAGACACTTGAATTCTGGAGAAAGTCGTTGATTCTCTCTAGGTCACATCTACACTGCCAGGCCTAGAAAAGCAGGTTTTTTTCTTAGCTATTATTATTTCATAGTTGTGATTATCATGAAGAGAATAATTTTTGAGAGTAAGGTTTTTATATTTAAGTACCTGAGACATGACTGCAAAAAAAAAAAAAAAACCACTTTTAGAACGGTGCAAAATTAGAACTAACATCCAAGATTTATAATTTCACCTTTTAACAGAATAAGGACTGTTAAAGAAGACCACAAAGCAGCATGAAGTTATTTCCAGGTCACTAAACAACCTATAGGTGCAAACAGTTTTTGGTCCCATTGCCCTTTACAAAGGAAAAGAAGAAAAAGGTACAGGTCACTCTGAGCCCCTAGGCTGATGTCCAAATGGCCCTCTTGGTAGTTTCAACGTGAAAGAAGCATGGAATGGATCCTTTGAGAAAGGAAACAATTAAGGGACCCTTTAAGTGTTTTGAGGAGTCTTAAGGAAAACAACAAGAAAAAGAAGTCAGTATTGGGATTAAATATTGCAATAGTTTTTTCCCATAAGCATTTGCATTGACTTTTCAGCTTTTTCATCAAAAAGAAAATCTGGCCTTCTGGATGTTTAAGAGACTAAGGAATTTCATTTTCCATTAGTAAACTGATTTTCTCCCCCACTATAGGTACTTAGAATTAGCGCAAACCCCAGGATAACTACAATTCCAAAAGGAAATGCTCACTCAGCTCATTATGAATGGTCTTACAACAAATACTGTTCTGACAGCCAAATTCCTGGTCTCCAAATTTGTAAGTTTGCCCTTTTTTTTTTCTCACAAGTCTTACTCAAGACCGCTTCTGAGCTTCTGCACATTTAACCCTTACAGTCAAAGACAATATGTTACTAAAGAACATGAGAAACTTCAAGTTCATACATTTGGACTAAAAGAAATCTGATATTTATAACCAAATTATGACCATATTGAATACGACAAATTAACTCCTTAACCAACAGAATAAAAAAACACTATTTATTTTCATGTCTGTGGCTACGAATTCTTTGAAGAGGTCTGAAGAACTGTAAACCAGCCAAAAATCCTATGATGCTTTCCATTTTATTTCTTCACTTTAATAACACAGCACTCACTTCTCAATAGAAAAATGACGAATGATACTAAAAGGTAAATAGCTGTTTTTAACTAGTCAAAATTAACTAAATTGTCCTCAATTGATCTGTATATTCCATGTTATTTTTTCAACCTTTCATTACAATAATAAAGCCACACTATAGTGAAGTTTCAGGCACTACTTTATTTAGTTCTCAAGAAAACTCAACAGAATGGGCACTATTAGTGTACCCACAACATAGCTAAGGAAACAAATTTAGAGTAGATTGTCGGTAATCACACAGGTAGTAACCTGCAGGGTTAGTATTCAAAATAGATTCTTTGGACGTCAACTGACACAGGGGTATAAAAATATCAGGGATAGGCTTGCTTGATCATTTTAAAATAACTTTAAATCAGCCCATATATTAATAAGTAAAAGTAAAAAATTATCTTAAATTCAGGTATGAATTATTTGTCAATTACCTCAATTTTCACTTTTTGACATGTGTAAATAGACATAACCAAAAAGTTCAATGATCGAATGCCAATAAGAAAAAATGGTGCATAATTAGTGCACATCTCTGCATTTGGGGAGGAGACTGACTTGATTTTACACAGGGTATTGTTTTTCCTCATTAATTGTAGTTCTGTCACATATTTGTATCTGACTGCTACATAAATGATTCACAAATTGTTAAGAAGTTTTATGGATATCTGGAAAGAATACTACAACCCAATAAATAAACTTTTACAAGTGCCAGAGAGAAATTTTACATTAAAATGTTACTTTGTTTCTTCGTCCTGAGAGAATGAATTTAAAAAAAAAAAAAACAGTTAAAATCAAGCATTAGATATGCAAATATGTGTTCAGATCAGAGATACCAAAATTATTCAAATGATTAATTATTCATCATAAAATGTCAATTAATAATTATGAAGCATAAAAAGCATCTTTCTAATGCATCTTTATTTTTCTTGGCCTAAAAAGGGCTTAATATACATGTTCAATTGACTCCCAACAAGTTTTAAAAATCCAACAAAGTAAACAAATTGCAAACAAGTGCAAACTCTGAATTTTAATAGGAGAACAACATGCTCAAAATGAATGAAAGACAGAAAAAAAAAATAAGGAAAACTAAAACCATAGCCACATTCATGACATATGCAGCTCCGTGTTCACTCACCTGCTAGGCAATAGGGCAACCTGGCGAAGAAAACAACCCAGCAACTCAAGCTGTGAATTTGCTTAGCATGTACAAAACACAGGGCATGGTGTTTCTCTCTGAATTGATTCGTGTGGGGCAGGGGTGCTTTAGGAATTTTTTACACTTTCCAAATAGTCACTAAAAGAAAAAGCACAGTTTAAGTTTCTTTAAATTACCTATCGTAATTTCTAAAGTCTGTTAAGCCCTGCTAAAATATTAGCATAAATGAGAAAATTTTTCACATTGCTTTAATTCTAAAGAATTTCCCTACAACAAGTATTATTCATTTTTCTTCCAGGAAGATTATATCTTTTAAGAAAAAAGGAAGTCAATTTGAGCTGATATGATAATTCAGAATAGGGAGCCACTATGATTACTGAGATATAGATTTATATTTATTTTATTACTATTATTATTATTATTTTACTTTTCACTGACACCTGGCGAACTTGTTCTCTGATGACCCAAGGGAGTTACTTTAGTCAGGGTGTCCCTGACCTCCTGCTGGTAGATTAATTACATATGAAACATTGTGTTTTCAAAACGAAATGATAAATCTGGACACATAAAGGTGGCAGAAAAGAATCAGGGCGAGAGAGAAGAGGAGATGTTAGGAAACAAAATAAGGGCTTGCAAAAGGGAGATATCAGATAGAAAGAAAGGATAATGTAGGAAAGGCAATTGGGAAAGAATTTCAAGAAAATAAGGATAAAGGTCAGGGAGGGCTGAAAGGAGGGCAAGAGGGAGGAAAGGAGGGAAGGAAGGATTTGGGGTTTTCAATCCCCTGGCGAGGCTGCTGGCGTCCGCGCCCTTAACGCCACAGCCTTCCAAGTTGAGGCGAAAGCCACCTCCTCGGGCCTGCGTCGCATCCAACTTACTCCAAGTTTTCTGGTGACTCCTACAGGGCCCCTTTCCGTCCCCCCCATCCCACCCCTTAGTGAGATTGACAGTCGCGTGGAGGAGGCTTTTCCAGGCACAGCCTTTCTCATGGTAATCAGCCCCCAGCATCACCTCGCGGCCGCGGCCGCTCCCGCTCCGTGCGCAGCTCGCGGACCCCGGGGACCGGAAACAAGGCGGCGGGCGGGGAGCCGGCGAGCGAGCCAGGTCAGCTGACCCGGCCGCGGGGCGGGGGTCGCGGCGTTCCCGGGCGGGTATAGGTCTGGAGGAGGGGGGGGGTGCGCGGGGGCCGACCCCCCCCCCCCCCCCAACGTGTTCCTCCGCCTGTGCTGCGGGGGCCTTACCCTGAGATCAAATGAAGGGACCGAAGCTGGGGGCGTGGGGGACAGAGCGCGCCGAGAACTGGGGGCGACAAGCAGACCTGTTTTGCATCAATAAATTAAGACGCTCATTTGAGTCCTGAAGTTTGCTGGTTCCTGTCAGTGGAGACGTTGCCAAAAAGCACTGAAGCCGAGATTCAGCCTTAACTTCAAAAAATAAAATAAAAATAAAATAAAATGAACCTCTCAGCTGGCTGCCCTGCTGGGGCCAGGTGACGTGCGAGATTCCACAGCCCGCGGGCCTCGCAGTTGGGATATTAGAGACAGTCTGAGATTCTCTGGTCCTGTTTTGATTTTGTTTGAAAGGGCTTCTCAGAGAGATGCTTCTGATTTTTTTTTTTTAATAGACTTTCCCCTCCTATCCTAGGCTCAACTCCGAATGGATTGGATTGCGAGTTTGCACGTGAGAAAACCGTTTGGCTTGACTTGGACCCCTGCCGCCCCCCACCCCGTCCACACACACCCCCAATGCAGGGGTCCCCCTTATCATCCTTTGCTTGCAACTCTAAAAGAAGTTTCCCACCTTCTGTGTTACAACACAGGGTCGAAATAATTCCTCTAGATGAAAGATCAATTCCGTTTCAAAAAGAGAATATGTTCCTTTTTTTAATTTTCTCCACATGGTACAGAATAAACAGAATTTGCTTTAAAAAAAATTAGCTGTGGCCAAATTCGAATTCCTTCTACAGGCTGTGTGTTCAGGGCAGAAACATTGTATCTCTTCTGGCATCTGGGCCAGCAAGCGGAGCTGGGGGCAGGGGAGAAAGGGGGAGCGGCTGTGAAAGTTAAGGAAATTGACAGACTGAGAGGTGAATGGGGGGACAGGCACCAGGTCCTGGCTGGAGGCAACTGGAAAACAAAAGTGCATCTTCACACGCTGCCTGGGTGGAGGGAATCCTGAGGGAGGCAGTTTGTTTTACTCGAAGAAACCCTAAAGAATTATTTTTCTCCCTTCAATGTCGATTGCAATATTATTTCACATTTGCATGTATCTGTTGTTTTAATCCCCTTGGTCTGCGCTAATCTCGAAGTGGATTACTAATGGGGAAGAAGGACCGGGAAGGAGCGATTCATTTGCAAGGACTTGCTCTGCCGTGTGAGGAGCCGAAAGCTAGCAGCTCCTAGTCCTCTCTCGACTTTTCCCTGCGTCCTGCGCTCGTGCATCCCGCTGACCCCACGATCCCCATTGTCCCCGACCTGGCCTTCGGACTAAGAGAGTGTTCGGTACAAATTTATATTCCGGCTTCCTCCGATCCCACCGCCTCTGCTTTGGTGTGAACTCTTTCGGTCAAATGGGGAGGGGAGTGCCAGGGGCGTGCCAGGCAGGGGCGGAGGGCAACCCACCGGCGCGCTCACCCCTCGCGGGGACGCTTCGCGTGCCACCCTCCAAATATCCACCTTGATGGGAACCTGAAAGATTGCTTTTTACCCCAATTCAAATACTTGCACGTCGGCACTCCCAGTGCTAAGTGTTGAGGCTGTCTCCTGACACTTGAACAATTACTGAGCCCAGAGTAATCAGATGATTAGGTGTTTTTCATGGAAATACTTGTCTTTTTTTTTTTTTTAAGTCAGATACTAAGTAACCAGACAATAATATACATAATAAAGAGAAGTGATTTGTCAGCCATTTGATTGGATCCTTTGACCTGAGGTTTTGCCAGTGAGTGTGTGTCTGGACTGCAAGCTCCAGTGGTTACCTGGGGTCCTGAGCTGGGGTCTTGCCTGGAATTACTCCATGCAAGGGACACCTTTGTCCTGGAAATGGGAGAGGAAACGCTGAAAAGCAAACTTCTAGAGAAAGCTGGACTCGAATTTTTTTAAAATAAAAAAGTGGGGAAAAGAGGGAAGAGGGGAAAAAAAGGATATTAATAATAGAAGTAAATCTCAGAGAAGGAACTTGATAAGTCATATATTTATAGAGATAGAAATATTAAAGCAATGTAAAGCATAAAACTGAGAATGTGCCTGACCCATGGTGGAAATCTTTAATTTTCTTTTTTTATTATTAAATTTTAGACTGATGGTCTTGAATGCTCCTCCATAGGTAATTTATCTGAATGGGGTGGGGGAGGAGATTCTCACTGTAATAAATACTTAAGGTAGGAAAGAGGTGAGTCTGTACCAAGAGTGAAAATTTACTTCCTTGCATCCTAAAGGAAGAATTGGTTGTGGTCATGCTGGGTGGCTACTGCTCCCCCCCCCAATAAACATACAAAACACAAAGCCGTGCGCCTCTGGGAGTGTGGATGTGGTAACCCATGGGTGGCTTTTCCCTCCTCTGAGTGCAATTGCCAATGACTCTTGCATTCAAAGTCTTGCTTTAGGCACACATTCAAAGCACAGTTCAAAGCAGTTTATCTTCATATAAGTAAAAGTCTAGTGTTGGATCAGGGTTTTATTTGTTTCAGATTTCATCAGACTGAAAACAGGGGGCTGTAACATATTAACAATATTAAAGCAGAAAAAAAAATGGCATAAGGCTGTTCTTTAGTCCTCTTGACACCTCCACCTTTACCTTTGCAAGGAAGCCCAAAGGCTGTGGGACTAAAAGTTTATTTGTGCTCTGAGGTTCTCAAGTACTTTCACTCTTAAAGAAAAAAAAAGAAAGAAAAAGCCTCACAGTTCTCTAAGAAATTGAGCCTGAACCATTGGAGGCTAAGAGATTTCTTCCTTTTCCGATAAATGTCTGTGCTCAGCATCCTCAAATTTGGCTGTCTTTATTTACTTCTATATTAGTTCCAATTATGTGCAGTGTAAACCAGCTTTTTGATTAACAAAACAGCAGAGCATTGGTTAAGAACACTTAAACTTCAAAAAAAAATTCCCCTGGGAAGTGGGCTCTGAATTGGTTAATAATGTGCAGTACTTGCTAAATTGCTGACTTCCAGATGTGGAAAATATCTTTCTTGTTTAGGACCTATGTAACCTGATTGGATTACGACAGAAGCGTCACGTTGGAAGCTTTTGAGTGATTATTTAATTAACCATACAGTAGAAAGCTGTATTCTCCAGGAAATCCCTTCCATATTTACATAACCAATCCCTTCAGAGCAAAGGTGGAGTCTTTTCTTTTTAATTTTACTTTAATTGCAATATCAAAAAATATATACTCCAAAACTTAGACCCCATGCCGTTTAATATGGTGATCTTCCTTCGCTGCTAAGTTCCTCTATGGCCTTTCTCCTTTTCCTCCTGTCTCCCTACACCCACTCCCTCACTTTGTAGTGAGGTCTCCGTGAGATGTGGAGAGATTCAGAGATCGGTCAACTCAGCAACTCAGCGCTCTATGTTAATTTACTTAAGAGACCCTTTTAAAAAATGCCAAACCACTTTTTAGTATTGGGATCCAATCCAGAAATTCATCACACACACACACCGCAACACACACGCCCTAAAATGCAGTTCACATGAAGCTTTTTTTTTTTTTTTTCTGGCTCTGGCATCTTAAAAGAAAAAAAAAATTAAGAGAAAGGGCAAAAAATTTAGTTCCAGAAGCCGTGCTGAGAAATCCACACAATTTAATGTGCATCTCAAATCTGGTCATTAGAGACATTTGTATAAGAAGAGGCGATCTGGATTGAGGAACCGGGATCTTTCCCTTTAACTTTCGCCCCTTAGAGTTCTCCAGTTCTGTGAATGGTGTGCACCGTTTTCCGCCCTGTACTCTGTAGGATTTAGTGATGAGGATAATGATGCCAAAGGCTTGACGGGGGGGGGGGGGGGGGGGGGAGGGGGGGGGGGGGGGGGAGAGGGAGGGAGAGAGGAAGGGAGGGAGGTGGAATTTCATTTCTTCCACTAAAGCGTTTGCGGAGACTTCAAGGTATAATCTATCCCAGATCCTTTCCCAGAGAGAAACTTGGCGATCACGTTTTCACATGATGCTCACGCTCAGGGCGCTTCAATTATCCCTCCCCACAAAGATAGGTGGCGCGTGTTTCAGGGTCTCTCTCTCTCCTACAGAAAAGAAAAAGAAAAAAATGTCATTAGAAGAGGCGTAACACGTCAGTCCGTCCCCAGGTTTGTGTTTCCTGGAGTGGCCGAAAGAGATCAGTTCTAACCTGCTCCGCAGGAATAACGGTCCTGCCTCCCGACACTCTTGGCGAGGTTTTGTACAGTTTGCTCCGGGAGCTGTTTCTTCGCTTCCACCTTTTTCTCCCCCACACTTCGCGGCTTCTTCATGCTTTTTCTTCTCACCATTTCTGGCCAAAACTACAAACAAGACTTCGCAGGTAGGTTTTTTTTTTCCCCCTTTTCTCTCTTTTTATTCCTTTTCGGCATGGTCATCCCCCACCCTCCTTTTACGATTTTCTCCTTTTAAGTGGGGATGTGAGTCTGAAGTGAGGAGGAGTGTCTGTGGGTAGGAATTTCAGGTGGGTTTAGCTCCTTTATGGCAAGCTTTTCCCAAGAGTGACTTCTTCGATTTCTCTTGCACTCCATCTCTCTCTCTCCTTCCTTTTCTCTCCTTTTTTCCTCCCCCAAATAATTTGCCCTGTACCTGCCCATTCAGGTAACCAAAGGTGCCTTTTACTACCCAGCCTGAGAAAAGTTTTATCGAGAACTATGTGGTTGGAATAAAAACTCTTCAAGGGGAGAGATTCTGCTCTATTTTCACGTCTAATTCCAATTCATTGTATTCAGCAATTAGAACTTGGCAAATACCTGTTAATAATTACAAAACTTGATGGATACAAACCTACCAAATTCGGGAGCAAGTCTTTCTCTTAGATATGGCAGTCCAACCTTTCCCACTGAAGAAGGCTGTTTTCTAAGTAGAAAGTTGCCTGTTTTTGTCTGCTTAGCGAGTTTCATTTCTTTATTTCATTCTTTGTGTGTGTATGTATGTGAAGTAACACCTCACTTCTGTGATGATAAATAAAGAAGTGAAAGTCCTCATGGAACTTGAGTCGTTCACCAAAGTGGGGGGGGGGAGTCACTACAGCTGGGAAGAAAACTGCCGTCAGGATATTAGGGTTGTAAATGAAGGATAACTTTTGAAATTGTATTTCAAATGGCAAAGTATTAATGATATAGACATGGATTTCACAGGAGACATAGACACACGAAAATATCCCTTTCCACACTTTGGCACTGAAAAGTCGAGAAAGAGAGCAGGAGTTCCCAGGAGCAGTGGTGAGCCCGGCTAACATGAATGTGTTTATCTCCCACCTTCTTATATATTTTACATGCTCCCCCTATAATGATGAAGGCAAGATTACTAACTCCAGAGTTAGAAATAACAGGCAAAGCTAAAGTTTACAGCACAAATGCCCTGTCTGTCCCTCACACACACACATGCTCATAAAACTAGCAGCTTACTTTATTAAACATGTATTTATATGCAATCGTGTGTAAGTCTCAGCATGAATACAGACAGGCCAGCTGCTTCCTCCCAGACACTTGTGTGACCACTGCTTTATTTCAGGATTTTCCCCAACAATTTCAAATCCATAGGAGAGCCAAGAAATAACAAAATGTGTCAAACTTAAAAGTCTCCCACTATGCCTAGGTTAAATTCAAGGTGCTTTCTAAATCATCCACTTCCCCTTCTCTCTGCCGCCCCCCAGCCCCACCCCTCTCAGCAAATGTGTGGAAACTGATACTCACTTTCCAGGTTTTCCGCAAAGCTTCTAGCACAGGAGACAATAGGTGCGGGGCGTGGGGACTGAGTGTGTTCGGCAGAGAAGGGGTTAATGGCCCTTGTGTTACAGTTTGCATCTGTTACATCTTTTATAGCCCCCTGTTTAAACTAATCCTCGAGGCACAGCATCTTCCCAACCTCCACCGAGTTGCAGGATTCTCCTCCTCTCCTGCCTGCCTCCGAGGTTCCCCTTCTCCAAGTTTTGACAGTTTCAGCTGAAAAAATGCAGCGCCTCTCTCGATTTTTAGGTACAAAAGTTTCGAAGCCAGAAAAGGATACGATCATTTAGTCGAGCTTAAAAGTATTGCCGTATAGCGGTTGGACTTTCTCTTTCCTTTCTTGAGGGGAGAAAATTTTCTCCTGGAACTCTTTAAGGGAACTAGGGCGGGGGAGCATGGGTGTGAGTGAGGTGGGGGGAAATAAGTAAATATTGTCAAAGCGGCGAAGGTGGCGGCGGCGGCGGCGGGGGGGGGGGGGTTGGGGGGGGGGGGGACAGTGTCCGAAGAGGCTTATAATTATATTTCTTATTGCGGCGTGAAACGGGAAATCCTAATTTGGGGGCGGGGGTGTGAGGGGGAGGAAGAGACAGTGCCTCGATCAACTCCGACAGGGGAGGGGAGGAGACGCGGGGCGAGTGGGCTTCCTATAATTACTATTATCAATTTGACCGAGTGTGCTTCATCCGGGAGTTGTTTCGCGTTGTTTGTTTGTTTGTTTGTTTGCTTCCTCGGGGGAATGGGGAGGGGGGGGTGAGTCGGGGGGGGAGACAAGATGAGAGCTACAGAGAGCCTCGCCTCACCCCAAGTTCCCGAGCCGGGCTGAGGACTTTTCGGAGGAAAAGGTCCGCCTAGCCCTGAGCCAAGCAGCCTTACTGTACCGCCGTGTGCATTCCCTCATACGGTCAGGAGTTATGACTCATTTTGAAGATGTAATTCTTGTCTCTCTGATCCCCTCGCGGGTGCAACACACCAAACAGTAACAAACACAAAGCGCCTCGGGGCCAAGGCTGGGGGTGGGAGGCGGGGAGGGGGGCCGCCGGAGTTTCGCTTTGGCGTTGGGGGGGCCGCGGATGGGTGCTCGCCGGGGCCCTGGCCCGGCTCCCCTGGGCGGCCCGCGCGCGTCTCAATGGGCGCAGGCGATGCCCACATTGTCGCTGTGTTTGGTTGCTAGATCGAGCCTGCGTGCTGCCGAAGCAGGGCGCCGAGTCCATGCGAACTGCCATCTGATCCGCTCTTATCAATGAAGCAGCCGATCATGGCGGATGGCCCCCGGTGCAAGAGGCGCAAACAAGCCAATCCCAGGAGGAAAAACGGTAAGAAGCGGCCCGAACCAAACTTTTCCGGGCCGCTCCGCGGCTCCAGACCCGGGGAGAAGGAGGGGGAAAGGGAAAAGCAACCGAGGCGGCGGCGGCGGCGGGCGCCCAGGGCTCGCGGGCGAGCCTCTCTCCGCGGCCGGCGCCGGAGCCCGGCGCGCGCGGCGACTGGACGGGGGGTGGGGGTGGGGGGAGTTGGGGAAGTGCCGGGCAAAGTGAGCGTCGGGCGCCGGGGGGCTGCGAGCGCTGGGGTCCGGCAGGGGCCCAGCGCCCCCACCCTCGCCGCCCTCTGCGCCCCCGCCCGCCCTCCCTCCGCCTCCGCCTCCAGCTCCACCAGCGCCCGGCCCGCCGGCTCTCCGGCCGGGTTGCGTGAGCGTCCGGCGAGGGCAGGGCGGGGGCCCGGGCGACGGGTCGCGCGGGATCCCCGGGGCGGGGGCGGGGCGGGGGTGGCAGAGGGACTGTGAGAGCGGGAGAGGGGGCCCGGGGCTGTGCCTCCGGCAAGGCTTAAAGTTTCTTTGCCGGAGTCGCCCGGCCGCCTCTCGGTACGCCAAGTAACGGTCCGCGGGCAGCGGGGCCCGGCCGGTCGCGCCGGGACCCCGGGGTGGGAGGGACTCGGCCGGCCCCGCGCGGGGTCCGGCGAGGTCCTCGCGGGCTCAGGGGCGGGTGGTTCCTCTCCAGCGGGTGCTGGCCCCGCGCCGGGGGCTGGCGGAGTCGCAGAGCGCAGGGAGACTTTTCTGGGCAGTTTCGACATGGTCAGGAGTCCGTTATCCAGGCTGAGTCAAGAAGGAGGAAGGAGGTGCGGGTGCGAGGGGGACACGCAGAGCAGAGATGGGAGATCAAAGGCGTGACAGCTTAGTAGGTCCACCTTATAAAGAGTCAGAGAAGGAACAGAGTGAGAGAGGGAGACAGACACAGAGAGAGAGAGACCCCCTAGGTATTACCCCCAAACAAAATCGTGGGAATAAAAGAGAAAAGTGATTGGCAAGAGCGCAGAAGGCGCCTGGGGGAGGGGAGAGAGCTGGGGACCGGAGAGGGTGCCGGGGATAGCTGACGGAGGATACTGAGTTTAAAAAAAAAAAAAAACCAACCCCCCAAAACAAACAAGAGAACTAGCGCCAGCTCAGACTGGGAAAGGAAACTTCTCGCTCCCCTCGTTCTCAGCCTGATCACCCGGCGCGGGGCCGCGTTGACGCTCCCGAACTGGACGCGGGGACGCGGCGCCGGCCCGGCCTCCGGCCTCCCGCAAGCCCAGCCCGCGCCTCGCGGGGACCACCGGGGCCCCCTTGGAGCAACTTTCCTCTAGGGAAGACAATTCTGTGCGCCCCCGGCCTGCCCCTGAGCTGCACGGCCCGGGAGGGGGCTGCTGGGGGCGCAGTGAGGGACGCGGGAAGGAGAAAACACAAAGACGAGGGAATTTTGATTAGAGACAAATGATGCTTCTCTCTGTCTCTCTCTAGGTTTCGTGTGTGTGTATGTGTGTGCGCGCGCGCGTGTACGTGTGCGCGTGTGTGTGTCTTTTGCTTGTTGTGGTAGAGGTGTCGAGCCATATGGGGGAGTGATAGAGGAATTTTAGTCAGAAACTGTTCGTTATGTTATCCTGCCTTTTCCCTTTGTGCTGCCTTTGATCTATTTGCTTGGCTTAGTATTACAAAAAAACAAGTACAATAATATATTCCGAGCTGCTTCCCCAAGATCCAGTTCAGGCTGCCTCTTTTTAAGTCTCTTTCTCCCTCTCTCT